TTAAAACAATTCCAAGCTTCATCGTAAAATACCAATTATTATATCGCTGTTTCCTCGGTAGACTCGGCGAATATTTATGCAAAACAAAAGCGAAATAGGAATTTGTTTCATTGACTACGTATCGCCGTGTGTGCTTTGATCTTGATATTGTACATATTTTTGTGCATTCCGTAAATTGTTCCTTATTTAAATTGTCCGTAAATGAGAGAAAATATTCGAAGCGTAGTACTTATGATATTAATGGATAAATTTTATTTCTCTAGTTATATTTGTAAAAATTAAAATTTGTATAAGCATTCGCAATCTACTCGCGAAAAACTGTTCAAATTCCAAACATCAAATCATCAGCGCGATGCCGATTGGTATCTGTGCATAGTGCGCGCTGGAAGCTTTAAACGCGCGAATTTCGGCGGCTGGCCATTTTCAAAATGGGAGAAAGAGAGCATAAATGTTTCACGCGACAAACGATTCGTTTTACTCGGAGTGTACGGTGCTTAAGCGGCGTCTACACCGCCACGCTCCAATACTCTGTTAGCCGCGCCGAAAATCCTCGTCGAGATTAGTGTGTGCTTTTTGCACACGCGAATACTCACGATATGAAATCGGTGTGTATATGTGTGTGTGTGTTCGTGTACACGTGACCGCAGTCACAATTCGCGCGGAATATGCGGAGAACCGGGAATGGCGTTTCAGGTATTTTTTTTTTTATTTTTAATTCGCGGCCTGGCCGACGTGCCCCTCGACGCTCTTTTCATTTCATTTCGCGATTTATGGCACCGCAAGCGGAGAACATCGAACAGTGGGTAACCGGTGATTTACAGACGAATCATAATCGGCGAGGAATCGAGGCGATTTATCGCGAGATATCGGAACGAAATAACTTGCCAGCTCGTCTGATCAATGCTGTCCATCTTCACTTCCTTGACGCGTCAAGTAGAAAATTCGACCGTTGTCGTATTAGACGGATTTTTATGCACAGTCATGTTCTTTCCTTGTGTAGTTAAAGAATTGCGACTTGAATACGAAGGAATGTTTTATTTTCTAAATATAAAAATACGTACTTTACTTTTGATGTTTTATATATATTTGCATTTGTGAACATGTTTATTTTTGCATATTCGCACTTGTCATAAATGCATACGTATTTTCTGTCTAGTTATCGCGTTAAATAAGTGCAGAGGAAAGAAACGACGAGATATTAAATATATTGTCATGATATAAATGACTTCGTGTCTCGTTTGATATTTCGTTTGAAATTTCGAAGATGTTTCGTATCGAACATTTCACAAGCGTCGTAAGGAAAGAATTTGGTTTCACTCGATGAGAAGCAAGAATGGCAAATGCTTACGCAAAACTGCAAAAATGTTTCGTTAATAACGGGATCCCTTTCATACGGATATCTATAAATTGTTTTTCCTGGACTGAAAGTGTTCCTGCAAACTTTTTGAATGTAAATTTAACAACGAATTCTTCTAAACGTTGGAAAAACGTCAAAGAAGTCCACGTCAAAGAGGCGAAGGTACTTGACGAATTGCTAAAATGCCTGTCAATAAAAGTTCTACGTTAATTCAGGCAAATACGCGTAGAAAATGTACGGTCAAGGCAGAAGAAAAATGCTAAAGTTCAATTACAAAAATATTCCGCTTTCAATAATAAAAATATGTCTCTTTTATTCTCTAGAAAATAAACAATTCTATAAAAAGGGGAATCGAGCTACTAGAAAAATCCATCTTGAATCGGTGCCGACGTATTCCAAACAAACGGCAAGCTAACGCTATAACAAAAATGAAACAATTTCGATAAATCTGAAGATTTCGATTTATTTGAACAGATAAATAGATGACACGCTCGTTTTCTTCCAATTTCATTTCGACCTTCGTGTTTAGGAATATTATGCCGGAAGGGCGTGTCTCTGCCAGAGGTTTAATCAAAGAATCTGGTGATTGATCCCGCTGGTCGGACGAAAACGGTGATCCGATGGCTGGGGTAACACGGAAAAGAGGAGTAAAACCGGGAGCAGACGGTGCGCGTAATGGAGGCAATAGCTTATCCTGATTACTTTTAACCCGAAACTTGTCTTCTTTGCCCTTCGATCCGTCCTATCTCCTCCCAGTTTCGTTGATCCTCCTCTCCTCCGTTTACCGATGCAACTCGTCCCTTTGTTGGCCACACCGGCTTTGTCGTTCAATTTCTTCGATTTTTACCTAATCTCTTGAAATTTCTATCCCGCCACCGATACTTTTCGTCTCGGATTTTGTCGATTTTGCCCGAAATTCAAGGGAAAATGTATCCTGTTTTCGTTTCCTACGTCAGACGATATTTAGAGTATTTTCAGATATTTCACAGAGAACCGAGATAATGTGCTTTTATCGTACGATAGATTTCAGAAATTCGCGAAGCCAGAATTTAAGGGTAACTTTTACGAGGAGAAGTCTGCCGAGTGAATAATTGACTTTGACGTTACAAGTACGCGAATGAGATCAACTGACCGAGGATCGTGGTCGCGGCATTAAGTTCGGAAGATTTAAAGCGAGGGACGTGAGTCTGGCGGCAGGATGTTAAAAAGAGTGCAAGGGTCGAAGGTAGGGGTCTCTTAAAGATAACGACAGTCGAGTAATGAGACTCTCTCGACCCAGAACCATACGTATACTCAACCGCGTAAGAGAGCTTCCGTCGAATTTTTGAATGACTTTATTTAATCTGTTCGATAAATATAACGAACCAGAAAAAAGAAAAATCATATTGCCACGCGATGATCCTTCGGCATCATATTATAGGTAATCATATCATAGTATAGGTATTATAGGTCATTATAGGTAAAAAAGAAAAAAAAAGAATAGAGACGTAGCTAAAAAATAAAAATAATGAATTATTTAATTTTCAAACATTTGTTAAAATTCCTATTACCATTTTCCAGATATTTTTCGGCGAAGCTCATAACGCGATAAAGCCTTTGATCCAATTATTTCCATAATGAAAAATCATGTATCTCGACGATTCGATGATTACCCTGTAGAATGGAAGAACAAAGGATCCGAGAGGAACAGCCGTCGAATGGCAATTGGACGCTTTTATGGTCGATATCGGGGCAAATTTTTCGCGTAATTTGCAGCTGGTTCGTGGCTGGTTCGACGGGGGTTAATACGTGCACATTCCTACGAGATTGGCTAGGGGCGTGATATTTTACGTCCACACGATGCCGTCGCACGGATCATTGGTTATTGTTTAACCATGTTTCACGCAACGACGAATGGCATCGTCTCGTTACCGGGACCATCTGATAACGCGAAACCTTACTCTGCGAGGCGAGCCTATAAAAGAATTTTTTATAGTTCTTGTTTAATCAAGTTTTTTTATCATTCTTGCTTGGGAAGTTTTTTATAATTCTTGCTACACTTGAGAGTGTTGTCAGCGTTGTGAGAGTGTGTGGTCCGCGTGAAAGAGAGCGTTGGAACCGTGGTGACGAGAGTTGTAAATTAACTACTTAGCTGTCTTAGTTATAGCACATTAATGTATTTAGTTCACGTTAAATAACCATCGTTTCCATTTGAAATAAATAATAATAAAATCCTCCATATAAGTGCTTGGGAATTTCAAAATTGTTGAGAATTGAGGATCTTAATTGTCGAAATAAAAGCAAAGGAACACTAAGGTTACACTTAGAATTAATATTAAAATAGTTTTAGATTTATTTAATAAACGACTTCCAGGATCTTCGTCGATACACATTTGCACGCGTCTCATCTTCTATACCATACTGCCAACGGAACAGTTACATTCATCTGTTTTTCGAGACACTGTGCACACGCATACTTCCATACACTCATATTCACATACGTGTGTCACTACTATGTGTCTAGTACACAAAATTATACATATCTCAATAAAAATATCTACATATATTAATAATACACTCTAATACATTCATAACCGTGGCAGACGAACCTTTGCACGATCCTCCGCCCAAACCGCCAACCGACTCTGCCAAAATTTCATTGAAAACGCAGAGCGAAAATGATTCGCGGTACACAGTAGAACTCTTGCGCGTATTTCTTGGGTAGAACGGTGCAGGCAGGCAGACGCGCGTGAATTTTAGTGTCAGCGGGGTTATAGTACCGGCAACAAAGCCAGCCGGCCAGAGACGTTTGTATATCGTGACCACAGAAGCGTGTAGCTCTTTACCGTCGCTTTACATCCTGCTTTCCTACGCTTTGCAACGCGTAACCTTTTTGTCTCACCCACACCTTTTCACCGTTTGCCTCGCCCTTCTGTCTTTCTTCTCTTACTCCTGGCGCCGCTTTAGCATAACAATGGCGTACTAGAATCGAGATCAGGTTTGAACCGCGTTCATAAACCTTGGCCAACTCGAAACTTAACTACCGCCACGTTGGCGTAAGAGTGTTCCTGGTGTTTGAGGACAAGGTTCGAGCGCATGTAAACGCGACTACAAACGCGAGTAGCAAAGATCCTGAGAATTAAACGGGTAATCGCTTCGCTCTGAGGCTTCGTGGCTACTTTCCGCTAGGTGGAAAAGCTTGACGGGGATTTGTCGGAAGTAGAATTATGTTGATGACGTTCTTGGTCTTTCGGTGTTTAAAAAGGATACGAGCGAGGGTCGTAACAGATTAACGAGGGGGAACTGATCGATGGAAGTGTTAGTAGTATTTTATCAAGTGTCTCATTATGTGCATAAAATCATGCGAGTGTCTAATCATTCCCACTTCTTGTGTGTTTACTAATTTTCATTGCGTAAGTACGCGATTAATGTTCGATTCTGAAGAATTCTAAAAGAAATTTACATTACAAAATTGTATCAATCTCTAAATACGAGGATTAAGAAAGTCTTCATGAAATATTTTATTTCACAACAGTGAAGAAATCGAAGAAATTGTTATGACGAAGTGAAGTAAATCCCCGCGAGGATCTTTATTTCCTTTAAGAATTATTGAAATATATGTAATTTTGTGCGCGACTCCGGATCAGTTGCGTAGTAGTGATACACGCGTAATAGGTATCTATGATCATCTTGTAAATCACATTAAATAAATACAAAAGTATTCTATTATCATCTGTATTTGCAATGAAAATGTTTCTATTTATTTCGCCGATTACGATCCACAATCCTCAACAAGAATAATAACTATAATTATATATATATAATATTAAACTATAATTAACACGACTGTTATCAAGCAATTGAAGGAAGAACACCAAAGAGACTCCTCAAGAAACGCGAAAAGTCTAAAAAGTCTTGAAATTCATCGATTTGGCGAACGAGAGCTCGTGCACGCTTCCGTTCTTAAATTTTACTAAAATACGGGAAGAACGAGCACTCGGTCGCTCCGGCTAAGCCTAAACGCACTATAACAGACGACATATCAGATTGCGAGCAAAGAAGCGCCACGTTCGGACGCGGGCGTCGAGGGGAGTGCGCTGTACCTCGTGAAAAACGCGATGAAAGAGGGCAGAGGAGGGCACAACCATCGAATCTGCTGTCCCGTGAAACAACGTTAAGCAATAACCAATAGGCCGTGTGCGCATCGGCGGTGCAAATGTCACATGCCATGCCACGTGCAAAAGCGGTTGGAATCGCGGCGCCGGTTTCAAACGTGGTCGCGACTGGTTCGCGAATTACGCGAAAAATGCATCGACGTTCACGATTGACTGGATAACGCGGTTTCCAATTACCGGCTCGTCCGCGACGCTGACGCGACGTGTAATCGTCTGGACGTACCCCCGCGTAATCATCTTCCCTAATGACCCGCCCTTCTTCCCACATCAAGGGGTCGTGCTCGTTTCCGCCCCGAGGGTTGTAGACGAAGAAGCTTTCGGACCGCGAAAATGCAAATTACCCAGTACAGGATGAATAATAATCGAATGGAAAGACGACTGGCTGTTAAGGTCTCTCCGCGGGAGTAGCTTCGCTGTATGAATAACGTGGGTTGGTCTGTTTTCATTACGTTTCGCTTTTCCTGCTTTTTAATGGCGGAGCCTGCAACGATGTTTTTTGATGATTATCGCAGCAAGATTTTTAGGAATCCGATGGCGTGTAGCAGAATTTCCGAAATTGTACATTTTATTTGGGGAAAGACTCGACTGAACGGTTCTTCTGTTTTCTTTGCGTTTCGCTTTTTCTAGAGTTTTTAATGATGGAACGTGAGCCGATGGTTCTGTAGAATTATTAAAACAAGATTTGAAAAACTTGGTACTATTTGTTGGAGTTTGAAAGGTGGTAATACGAAATATGAAAATTGCCGCAGAAAGCTCTGCCACGCGATTATTTGCAAACGCGGAGCTTACGATCCGGTACTATACAGATACTTTTATAGACGTCTATGGTATAGCTGATAAAAGTTGGTACTCCAGCCCTTAGTTCCGCCTATCAATTTGTATTATCAGAGTACAACTTTCTTCGTAAACTACCATACTCTAAAACAATCGTACAACGATTCTTTCGCAGCTATCGCACTTGTTTCTTTATTAGAGTTTACTTCGAACAAAAGGATAATATTCACTGTCGTACAACAACGAGACAGAAATATATCCGCATAAAACTTTCTCGTTAATAATTCTTTTACAATTACCATCCTTGTTTCTCCCATTGGACTTGGCTTCAAATAAAGACACACGCAAACATGTGACAACGTGACACGACTAACATACGCGTTCGAAAGTCTGAGATCATCTGTCACTTTTAATAAAACGTTAATATTTAACGTAGGTTATGACTTAAATCGTATACATATTTTATATAATAATTCTTAATATATTACAATAAACATACTTGATATATTAATATCGATAACGAATAAAATCTTTTTTTATCGTACGAAATATAAATGAAAATAAATTATTGTCACATGATTCATCTATAACTTTTTCTGACTTTCCGGCAAATATAATAATTTTCCAGGGATTTCCTAGCGAGAATACAATACATACATAGGTAGGTAATTGAAAATTTGCCGCGTATACGTGTAACAAACTTATTTTTAACTAACACTGAAGCTGCTAGTTAAGACGAAATTATTTCTACCAAAATCAGTCAAAATGATTGGTCTTTAAAAAATACGTAATAATAGAATATCTTTATATTTATTAATTTATTACTTACAAAATGAATTTCATGTTACGTAGTACACTTTTTGATATTATTAGCCCATCTGGGATTACGATATCTAAATGAGAATTGGTACATTTATAAAATTGTATAACCAATCATTTTAACATTTAACATTTTATGGTAGTTCCACTATTAGCATCATGATCGATCTGGAATTTGTCTGATAACTAACATCATCTTTTTGAATGATACGCGCGTATAAAAATTGTAAAAACGCGTGGGAAGTTGTACAAAACGGGGAAACTGATTAATTCGGGTTCGGTAAACAGATTTTAGCAGCCTTTTACACTTTCACGAGTACCATTCATTTTGACTGGCATTGATATAAGTAGCCATGATACAAAATTATTTTGATTTTGAATAAATAGAAAAAAATAAATAAAATTCATTATATTATTCCATTTATATCACAGAAAACATCCCACTGATCTCACCAAAGAAATAAAATAGTCGAACTCGAAGATGATATCTTGCTGGGGGTAGCCATCCACATGTTAATTTGGCATAAAACTAGAAAAATTTACTAAATGTCTAGCTGGACAAATTGTAAAGTACAAATTAAATAATAAAAAAAAGAAAACACCCTAGTGACCTGATCAAAGAAATAAAATAGTCAAATTCGAAGGTGGTATCCCACTGGGGGTAGCCGTCCACATGTTAATTTCCAATTAAGCTAGAAAAATCTACCAAATATCCAGCTAAAAATCTACCAAATTGTAAAGTACAAATTAAATAATAAAAGAAATTTACATCATAGATTATATTATCACATCATTGTGAAGAAAAGATATAACGTAAAGTAAGAATTTCAAGATAAAAATATAAAAACTGTCATTTCGACTAGTGCGGTAGTACCAGTGCTAATCGCGATCAAATTCCATATTCTCGAAGAACGAATCGTCGACCGAATTATTCCAAACGTTCTATTCAGTTTCACGTGATGAATCACGCCCTTCCCACACGTAAAACGATTTCAAAGTCAGCCTGTATAAAACGAAGTAAAATTCGTAGCACGGAAGTACAATACCTGGTCGGTGGCTGAAGGGGTTTTGGACAAAGCGTTGGTCATTTCTGTGGCCAGGGACGGTCGTCGCCTAGCGGAGGAGGTTTTGTCGCGTCGGCGTTATAACGCGCGTACGCGGTATAATCCCGCGTACACGTAGCCAGATGGCGAAATAAAATATCCAAACGCGAAACGGAGACGCGGCGTGGTAAAATCGGAATTTTTCGACCGGTTCGAATTACGCCCGCTCATCCGTGATAGATTTATGATCAGCGTGGATACGCGTGTATCTCGTCACGACGTGCGCGCCGAGGTATTTGTAGTTTTTAATCGCTTTCAGAGAGCAGCACGGTGCACGCGCCTGCACAAAAACCCCTTGTGTTCATTGGTTATCACGGACCGCGTTTCCATTTCGCCGTCCATCGCCGGACGGTCATCAGGGGGCTAGTGATTCGACGATCCCTCGCCTCTCTTTCGACCATCCTAGCGGAGTGCAGTTGGTCACGCTTCGTATTGTTCTTTTTTCAACCCCCGCTCACGTTTCCTCTCTGTCCGAGATGACGAATGCCTTGACAATTTGTCAATCTCCGCGCTTCTTCCTTTTTTGTTCATGCGACATTTTTTTGCAATACGCATACGGAGGGTGGAGATATTATGTGCTTTAGCCCTATTTCGATGGTGTTGAGAGAACATTGGGAGATCGTGAGAATCGGAGAATAAATTGGAAGACGAGTCGATAGACTGCGGATCTCTATGCGTTTAATTTACATTTTTGTTGAATATATATATGGACATTCATCCACGCGTTTGTTCTCTCTATTACAAGATACAAAACCTTAACACTTTGTAATACCTGCCCGAATTCTCTCCATACTTTAACGATATTTTTAAATGCACGGCTACCTATTTAGCCGAATTTAATGGAATAGCATTTATTCACAGAGGATCGTGGGTGGATCGACTCTTGTATAACAGCATATATAATTCAATAGTGCGATTTCGCTGATAAAGAGATTACGATATATGTCACGATATATAGCGTGAGATATTGATTAATATATTATTAAATACATGATTAATTCTCTGAAAAAATTCATCCTTATTCGATGAAATACGTCTACCTGATGTCTACGATATAAAAATTACATGGACAATTTCCTAAATCCAATAATCAAATATCGACGATGATCGAGCACATATTAATCCAGCACTTTCCGTTCCTTTCCCTTGCCAGCCTACGATTAAAATTCACATAATCGTTTCAATAACCACGGAAGTATCATTGAGCTGTCGATTATCGTAAAACCGTGACTCGGCTGTAATTTCAACGTCCACGCCCTCGACCACTGTTCGATATTTCGTCACGAACGTCTGCACACAGCCTACACAGTTTGATGGATCGCGTTCCACGAAATTGGGTCGTTGAACGTGCGTTACACGAGGCTATCAGCGATCGTGCAACGATCGTTACGTACTCGAAACCCTCGACGTATCGGTAGGAAACGCGCAGAAACGCGTCGATGAAATGTCTTTCGAAGGTGGCTTTATCTTCTCGTCGGTTGTTTCGTCTATCTGAGCTTTCCATTCGAATGACTTACGCGCATCGATCGCGCGTTTCGATTCTGCCCGCCTACGTCGCTCGTTTCGCCGTTATCTGCGCCACAATTCGCGGTCCTGTTTGTCGAAAAAATATTCTTATCGCTTTCAAAACGTTCGACGAATACATTTTCCACGTGGATTTCTTTCTTCTTTATCTTCTTTTTCTTCCTTGTTTCGTCGAATTAGAAAATCGGACATCGCAATTTCTTACAAGCCACCTTAAACTCGAATAATAAATATGAATTGAAAATGACGAGACTCGATGTAACAACTTGCTGAAAACTACCTGTAAAATTCCTAAAAACCAACAGAATATACGCAATTCAGAAATGACTTGTTTTTGACCTAAGAAATTATTGTAAATTACTTTAATACAGAAAAAAATTCCACCAATTCGCCATGAAATTCCAAAGAACAAACGAAATGCACGCTGTAAGGAAAA